GGTGTCCTTATTAGAAGGGCTGCACGATTTGAGGAAATGATTTAATTGCGATTTTTCTGACAGATATTGCGATTGCGATTAGATTTGGGATATTTGTTTTTAAGCGACCAAACAGAAGTTTATTGTAAAATGCTGCCATATCTCAGATGGTTTGTTTCACTAAACCATCTAGGAAAGCTCCATTGGAAGCCATTTAGAAAAGTATTTCAAAAATACTTGGCAGATGATTGGATCACATGAAGCTCAGCGCAAGTTCAGTCAGGAAGACCAATATCCTCTGTCTGTTACACGTCATTTCAATACTGTCTCCTCTCTCAATAAGTGATCGGGGGCGTCACTCCCCAGCTAGCCAATCACTTCCCCCCATTCTCACAAGCCTATCATTGCACCCGCTAACCCCTTTAAATCTGCTCTTCCCTCTCCGTCAGCTGTCATTTCAGGAGGCAACGCGCAACCCTCCTCCACCCCTTCGCCTCCTGTCTCCTAAGACATGGCCAAGCTAAAACCTTCTCCCTTCAGACCGGACCTACTTATCAGCACCACCAGTGTCTAGACCCCGGGGGGTTCATCGGAGCGGTTTTTCCCCTCCTGAATGATTATCCTGCAAACCGGGGCCTAATCGCCATACACCATTTCATTCACTTGTTATAATCCGTCAATCACTATTATAATCTGTCAATCACTATTCATTCATATTATGTGTCCCGGTAATAAACATGTATTTCATACATCACGTCTCTCCTGATTGAACTACTATCATGGGCCACTTCTGATTGGTTAACAATGACTGGTACATGTGGAGCACAGCACTTCTGATTGGTGTGGATGACAGACACATAAGAAGAAAAAAACCAAAACTAAAAAACTAAAATAAATCGCAGGCTTTGCGATTTGATAATTGCATCATTTCAAATTGCGATTTTTATTTAAAATCAATTAATCGTTCAGCACTACTTATTAGTGATACAATTAGATGTGCTGCTACAGACTTCAGTAGTGTTAGTGTGGCTAATGTTAGTTTGAGTTTTGGATAAATGTTGTGTAATTTACATAATTTACTGATTTGTGGGACAATTATATCACATTTGATCATGTACCATTTTTAAACTGGTCTCTTTGATATTGATTTCAGTTCCACATTCACCCGAATGTATTAGCAGTACAGCTGAATACTAACCAGAGGAGGCACTTGATTAGGTTTAGGTCAAATATGTGTCAAAATACAATTTTAAATTAAAACGTGTTGTTCTGCTTTTTTGGTACAGGCCCACACATAAAATCATACCACAATATTTTTTCTTTTTTTTATTCAAAAGGAAGTGTAATTTTTTGGGGAAAATAATTTGTTTAACAGCCTTGGTGCTATTTGTGGAGTCCAATGCTTTCTATTGTGTGTTAGCAACATGTTAATAACACATTTGATTGCATAAAATTATCGAGGCAACAGCATAGTCTTAGCCATCTGTGCTGATTTGTCAGATGATGCATGAGGTTAGATGGTAGCAGAGAAATTAGATGAGACACTTTAAATATGACTGGCCAGCACTCACAGAATAAAACAGTGTTTGATGAAAACAGGTTCAACAAAACCACACCAAAAATAGTTCAGCTGTCTGAATGACATTTAAAAAAAGTTTGCTGTACTATATTTGTAGCAATATAAATGCTGTAGGTATTTTTCAGCATGACTCACAGTGCCTGGAGGAAAAGCACGGAACGTTTTCTAACCAGTTTGTCTTCACTCTCTGTTTATTGCGCATTTGTGAAGCTGAATCTCTCACCTTCTCATTTTTATCTCAGAAAAAGGTGAACATTTAGGAATTGAAGCATCTGCATGCCATCAAGTTAATGTCATACGTAGTAGACCTATTCAGATCATCCGATGATAACATTGAAACAACTGAAAAATGTAAATAGAAAAACAACAATGCCAATATACAGTATTACTCCCATGCGTGCTTTAACATGGTATGATTGGATGGTCTAAAAACAGCTGTGGTCCTTCATAAGGTATTTCTTTAGGCAGCAATTTCAAATTGTGGTAACATTGTCTAAGTCTATTCAGAAAGCTTGAGTATGTTTTTGTGTATTTACCAAAGCAACGTTATAGGTCCTAGCAAAATCAAATATTCAACAAAGCTATTTAAAATATGTAAAAGTGTCTGTTCTCTGATCTTTAAAAAACACAAACCCCCTGTACTATGCTATGATAAACACTTGTTTTCATATACGCATGCCTTTAATCCGTAAAGTGTATGGGGAAATGTTTATGTGTACTCAGTTCAGTGAATGGAATCTAAAATAATTATATTTGATCCTGAGAAGACTTCAACAACAAGGACATACAGTGACTGGAACAATGACAAATGTAGGGAATCTGATTCAATATGAAACGTGCGAGAGCCTTATAGGAAAAGAGCATTGAAAGCAGCACAATAGGGCATTACAGAGCGTTCCCTATAGGCCCATACCACATCACCCCTGGGCTGTGGCTCCACCACCATACGTGTCTCCACAACAGAAAGGTAGCCTCCTAACCTTGCCCACACAGCCTTAATCTTCCAAATGCTGCTTGAGCATTTGAATTTCTGCACATCAATCTCAGGGCCCTGTCCTGCCTTGATTAATGGTCCCCATCTATCACAGCACCATGTGGCGCTCAGGCCTTGCCCCGCTAGACAGCTTTGCTTTAGAATAATGGGCGCACTCCATCCCAGGCCCTAGCATGCAATGATTGTGCATCTTTGTGATCTATCTGTCAAACTGCTCTGTCAAAAGGGACAACAGGGGACAGTGCAGGTGGAAGCAATCAGGGCGAAGGAGGCATTGCTACACGCCAATTACGTACAGTATGCAACAGAATGCCTCTTATGGTGGCTTACTGTGCTGACTGATAAACACAGCAATATTTTCTCACAGAGGAAGCCGTCTCTTATTCTGTCACACATGGGTGCATGACGCCTTGGAGACATTCCGTCTGCCATCAATAACGTTGGCAGGGAAACCAAAGCAACTAATGGAGACTCCAGGTTCTGTTCATGTATGGCCACTTTCTTGCTTCTCTAATATTCCAAACTAAATTACACACATGCATGTGATTGAATGTACATTTGCCAAAACTCAATGCCTCACAAAGACACAGGATGGTGGAAGTTAACTGCAAGGGCACCATTCCAATGGTTTGAATGTACTTCCCTCTGTTCAGGAAACACTTGATTTCATCAACAATCTGAAAATAATTAGCTGCAATTATGCATGTCCCTCATCAAAGCAATTACATGCCACATGATCAAGCCCCTTATATGGGCACACCAGTATTCTGTAGAGTTGAGAGCTATTCATGCTTTTAAACAAGCCATTCATCACTGTCATATGAGCATTCTTCACTTTTGATGGTGCTTTTGTGTGCGTTAGTACAGGCAGACAGGAGAACAAAAACTCTTGGTCCCTATGCAAAACACACAAACCCTGCAGAAATGTGTCTTTCTTTAATTGAGCATCCATTACAAAACAGCATTAATTAAAAAGGCATTTTGCATGGCAAAGGAACAAGTGTGACCACAATTACATGTCGGATCTAACTAGTACATCTTGGTTGCGCGATATTCTCTGGCATTGTTTTTTAAATGTCGAAGCTCTATTACATTGCCCACTGGGATCAGCGCCGATATGTGGGAGTATTGTGTTGCTGCCTGTCGCTGACATTTCAACAGGCTGGATATTGCTGATGCATTCCACAAACATCACCCACTGGTCCGCTGCTCAGTCTATTCCAGGCGTGAAAATAGTTCCCCCAATCTCTCCGAGAAGATCATAGGACAAACAGGGATGGAGGAGAGTTATAGGGGCTACATTGCCCTTAACGACACTAAGACTTCACAGCAGTGGTATCTTGATATATACCATGAAAGCATCTAAAATAACATGTCTGAACATGTAATTTCCGGCATCAATTTACAAGCCTTAGGTGCTGTGGTCATGTGGGGAAGAATACCTCACAAATTGATTCACTTGCTTTATTTTAGAGGTATATAACAATAACAACAATTGGACAAATACAATTGGGGTTTTGTTATTCTGGATGGACTGTAGGTGCATCTCTGACAGCTGAAGTGTGAAAGAAAAACATGCATGCATTCACTGCTGACCTTGACTGAGTTTGTGTGTGGTGGAGGGCACATACTGTATATATATATATATATATATATATCAGAAATCCTGCACCACTTTGGCAAATGGAAGGTTTCTGAAATACTTTATGTGCGGGTTGGAAAAACAACACCTCTGTGCATCTGGAAGGCAAATTGTACATCAGTGCCTTATGTCTTGCCTGTATGAAGCTGAGGCCACGAAAGTAAAGAGAGAATATGTTGACCCAAATACAGCAAGGCGCTTGGCTCACTTATACAGCCATATTCCTTTCTTAGCATTAGAAACAACAGCAGCAACTGTTTTTTGGAAAAGTGACAGATCTAATAAGCATGGCCTAAAGCTTGCCAGAGTTAACATTTCAATGCATGCCATTTGTTTGCCAGTATAGAACCTATTTTGTTTTCATTTACAATTCAGTAGGTTTGGGGAAAAATGTGTTTCATGTGAGCTTGGCACCATTGCATGGTGAATTCCATACCAGTGTACATAAACCATTTACAAAATAATGAACAGGGCAGATAGCGGGCATAGACTGTGTGAGTGAACTGAAGTCAGAGGTGACTACAGGCAATACCCTGATGCTGGCAGTGGATGAATACAAAAATAATAATGAATCATTATGAAGGTATATGAGTGGAACTAATATTGATCCATGTGGTGTTTTCTTTCTGAAAAATGTGGTTTTACACTGCTTCAATAAATCACAATCTGCTCTGTGCACTTAAAGTAAAGTACTACAGGTAAATTCCATTCAATACTTTCTCCAAATGCCAGTTTAAAACAGTAAGATTATAATCCAAGTATGTTTTTCTTGGTTGGATATGAAGGTCTTCTTTGTATTTAGCAACCTGCAATTCTCTGTCTCCTGTTTATTTTTAGGATAATTATGATGGCCGATAGTAAATAACACAGGTAAAAATGTTAACTTGGAAGACAATTAGTGCAATATGCTCTTTTAATGAACATTATTTGTAACCCTTGATGTGGGAACCTTTTAAATGTTGTGTATGCCCAGCTTTAGAAGGTAACTTTGAGTTGTGGAGCTCTCAAAAGGTCTGCAACGGGGCTTTTAGCGGTGAGGGAACCGTCCATGGTCAAAACAATTCACTCTGATACTGCAGAGCTGGGCCTATGACCGTGCTTCTGTTATAGGTGGAGCAATGTTTGGCACTCTTTTCTGTGGGTACAAAACAGTGTGCACCTTGAATACTGTGTCATGGAACTGCCACCCCTAAATTGCAGGCTTGAGATTTCCAATTACTATTTTTTCAACATATTGGTTCAAGTGTAAACCAGTGTGTAGTGTTTGCCTTTCTAATCATAATCCTCAGATGGTTTATTCATGAGGCATCACTTGAACCTCTGTCATCACTCTGTACCTGGGTCAGTATCACAGCCCCTGCTGTCAGCCTTAGTTTTCTGCACTGACATGGCAGCTGCCGTGTTCACAGGGAGTAACAGACCAGGAGGCAGGTTGGACGACAGAGTAATTCATCCGCACAATACTCTATTTGGGATGTCAGAGGATAAGGGTGAAAAATAGGTGCAGGTCACAATGTCATACTGTCCTATCTAAACTGGAAAAAATAGGCATGCTATCGCAGAACAAGAGAAAGCTTGCCAGCCAAACTTCAAGCAACCCTTCATCACTTGGCCTTGAGGTCTTTCCTGCAGACAGCAGGGATGTAACAATCACTCTTGAATTGTCTGGAGTACGGAAGACAACGGCACAGGTACAGGGACAACAAGCAGTGTATGATCTCAACAAAAAGTGGATTCACTCTCTATAGCAGGACTCCCACATGCCAGTTCATCCATTACTTAGAGGAAAGAGGGAGGAAAGGGAGGAGGAGGAGGAGGTGGAAGGATGTGAGTGATGGTTAAGTGTAAATAAACTGCATTATTCCTCTCTTATAGATGGGGAAGTTCATTGCAACCTTTCCAAGTCAATAGAGTTGCAGTCAGTTCAGCACTCCAACAACCTTTAGAAACTTAATTAGAGGCTTGAATGCAGTTATTTGCCTTTTTACATTAAGAGAGTTAAAGAATTCAGTGGAGAATGTTATAATAGTTTAAGATTGGCAACTACTGATAAAGGTGAACAGGTTTTATTTGTCATGGGATTTAACTAATGAAAAGTTGTTTGTAACTGAACAACACCATGAAATTTAGATTTTTTTTTTCGGATGCTCTTAACTGATACAGGGCAACAATTAATTGTATACTCAATAGTCAGTCTATTCCTAGACTTGTCATTTGTTGTCTAAAACTAACAACAAGGAAAGGCAGGGTTAGGGTTAGGGGGTTAGGTTATGGTAACACTTTATAT